GCAACCCTTAAAAGGCGAACCGAAACCGAAACGAAAACCAAATTCCGTATGCCGCCCCCTTTTTCTGCTGTTGCTGCTGCTGCCTTATGCTTTCGGTCAAAATAGTTTGGTGTCCACTCTAAAAATCCAGCATAGAATTGGGGGGTTCTCCCCTTAATTTCACGCTGTTCCATATTCCAAATATATATATATATATAAATTCCCCGGGAAAAACGGGCAAGAAGACGAACCACCACCACCGTCGAGTCACATGTGGGGTTAGGGCCAGGCAATAACTTTAATATATTTCACTACGAATTATTTCTGACTGGCACACACACCATCCCATCACCATCCCCTTTCAGCCTAATGAATGAACCAACATATTTGGGCTGTTCATATTGTTCCTGGACTGTTGTTGTTATTATCCTTGCGGTTGGTGTGTCTAACTGCGAGCAGATAATTGAAATCGAGTGTAAATAAGTGCACTGCCCATGAGGTGTCTGTCTGTATCTGAGTTGGTACGTTAAGTGCTATTTCTGGAGATCAAAGTTTGCAGTTTATTACTTCCTCTAATGATTATTTATATTTATTATGTTTTGGATGGGATCGAAAGTCTGTGAAGGCCATGAATAATGAGTGAATGAAGTGTGTTTGTTTTGTGGTAATTATTAAGGAGCAGGAAGAGAGAGAGCTATTTATATGGGTTCTTATTTTACATTTACAAGTTGGTTCCAGCAAAGCTGAGATCTTTTATACCTTTATTAATCTCGTTTTAAAGCGTTTATATTTATAATTATTTACCCTCGCTTATTTCATTGTTTAAAGTGTTTAATTAAAAACATACGTCTGACAACAAGGGCGGCGCAATATTGTCAGCTCTCTGGTGTTATGGCCATCGGGTTTTTCGCCATCATGTGTCACTTGCAGTAGTTGCAACAGCAACAGCAGCAGCAGCAGCAACTGCCACGGGAGCAACATGCAACATGCGTGCTGCTGCTGCTGCTGCTTCCTGGCAACAAAAGCCGCAACGGTCATGTAAAGTTAATTAAATCAAGCGACATGTGTTTTAAATAAATTGAATAAACTCCGGCATTAACATAAAATGAAATTAATTTTAATAGGCTTGCCAGGGCCGTAAGTTGTTAAGCCAAAACTATAAACAAGTTGCCATTGTGTCCCGAGAACGGGACCGAGACCCAAGGAAAGAAAAGTTGAAAGACCAAAGTTTTAATGCCTCCTGTTTTTTTGGGGTTAATGCGTACAAGTGTGGCATCATTATGTTAACGAATTTATGGCAAACACCCAACACACACACACACACACACAGAGAGAGACTGCGACTGGGAAATTGGAATGGAAAACGTAAACTTTTATAATCAAATTTAGTGGCTCAGACATTTCTGGTTTAATTAATTTGTCGTCATTAACTTGAGCCGAAATGTGAGTGGCTTTTGAAACGTGATGAGATGGGAGCTCCTCTCTTTTGCGGTTGCCTCTTCGTCCTTGACGCTGCCTCTCTTCAGTCCCTCAAAGGTGTCGAATATATACATTCTCTAGCTTTTGTTTAAGGCAACAAGAAACCGCAACTCGTGTGTGCCTTGTATCTGTATCTGTGGCTGTATCTTTGCCCGAGTGTCCTTGTGAAACCGTGTGGCAGGAGGATGTATATTACAGCGGTGCACCGCATCTGATCCGTGGTAAGGATGTCTTTTTGCATTAAGATATATCGCACAACCTGGGTGTGTGTGTGTCAAACAAGCATTTGTACTTGCGCTGAATTATGTCCCTTTGGAGTTGCAGTTACACGGGGCTAATGAATCCGAGTCCAAGTCCGAATCCGGATCGGAATCCGTAGGCCGTAGGAAACCAGGTCAATGCGATTGTAAATTATGGCTTAACCTCGTCTGATTTTGGCTTTGGATTTGGCCCTAAAAGGACACTAAACACACACACACACACACGGAACAGGTATTTATAGCAGTAAAACACAGACACACATTTACGGGAGCATTTCCGGGAGCCTCTATTGATTTTCTTAAATTCCACCGCAAGGCATCTACCAGCACGTTGCGTATACGCCCCGTCTGCCAACCTATTGATTGTGCTTGCGTGTGTGTGGTTTTTTGGGGTTTTATTTTTTTTTTGGGCAATTGCCACCTCAACTTGACTCCGGGGCAGCACTTGAATTGTGTGAATCTGCTGATGGACTTATGAAACCCAGGCAGAACTTCTAGACGCCACCCGCTGCTCCCTTTTTTGTTGTATTTTTCTTCCCTGAAAATTGCTGCTTAATTGCTGAGCTTGGGGTTGGCTAATTTAGCCAACTTCCACCTGCTGGTCGAACGTAAAAGTTTACTCGTTTTCTGCCCCCGAAAAAGAGGAGAAAAAAGTGGAAAACAGAGAGAAACAAGCAACTTTTGTTGGCTGCCAGCGCTAAATGCTCGAAATTCTTTAAGTTTACGAGAGGAATGAACATTTGTGAGCAGTTTTCATTTTCCTACTTTACGGCTGCTCCCCCCAGCCATTTTCCCAATGTATTTTCTTTTCGTTTTTTTTTTTTGGGCTTCGCGTGCGTGGGGGAAATAAGGAGCCAAGTTTTTTGTGTGTACTTTGGCACCCCTTTTTGCCCGTTTTTCCCGCTTTTCCACAGCCCCAGTGCCGGCTTCTGGTGCTGCTGTTTCTATTTACGCAATGTCCGCAGCAAACTTTGGACCAAAGCCAGGTGGATTTTGGTTTTTTTCTAAGGGGGGTCCTTACGGGGGGTCCTTACGGGGGGTCATTTCAGCGGGCTGCCCCCCCACAGCTCTCGCTAATATTCGCCATTAAACTTTTGCTTGTTTTTCTTTAATTAACAACGCAAACATCTGATATGCTATCCCGTCTCCCGTCGCTTTTTCGCCTGGCACTTTCCTTCTCATTTTCCCTTTGCTTTTTTTTTTGTTGCTTACTTTGGCGTCTCGCAAAACCTTTATGAAGTTGAAAATTTCTTTCTTTTCCCCCCTTTTTTTACAATTTTTTGTTGCTTTTTGCGGGTCGCCGAAAAGTTTGAGCGCTTAAAACTCGTTTCTGTTTACATTTCTGCGGCTGGAAAATCCCTTTCCTCGACCGAGACCCAGAGATTGGTGCGGAAATCTTTTGCGTAAACCGAAATTGTTTATGTAAATAAAAATGCTAAACAAAGGAGCATTTTCACACATAATAGCCGGGTCTTCAACCATAATTCCTCATGAGCATTAAGACCAAAAAGTTTTGCATTATAGCCCCTTTCCCCCCCAAAATAGTATTCGTTGGTTAAAGCGGATTACTTTTGTATACACTCTCATCCGATATGCGAAATGGGTTTTAATTATTCAGGAACAGAGCCGAGGAAAGAGCGAATCTGTGTCCGGCTAAGCTCGGCTTTCAGTCCATAAAAACTCCACTTGAAAACTAATTAAACACTAATAGTTGGATGAAAGAAAAATAAAAATAACAACAACAAGAAGCAAAGCAAAATAAAACACATCTTAAGTGGCGGAAGTGACGGTCAAGATGTGGGGGAAGGGGTTTCGCCAAGCGGCTTGCAGGGACTTTCAGGGGTTTAAGGGAAAAGAGAGGTCCTGCAATTGAACAAACACAAAACGAAGACCGTGCAGAAAGGCGAAAAGTTTTTAATTTCACTCCAAGCAGCACTGGCGGAAAAGTAAAGTACAAGGAAGCACAGGCTGCTGCGCGCGAATGAGTCTATAAGTTGGCAACACCCGCTCAGGCTCCTGCTCCTGGTCCTGGCTCCTGCTCCTGGCTCCTGGCTCCTGCTCCTGAAACCCTATCAGCTTCACACAATGCGGAAGAGAAATGTCTTGCCGATGAAATAAAACAATGGCAAAACAATAGCAATGCGAACGAGTTCTGGGTGCCAAATGGCCACGAAACTCTGGGACGGGAAATCAAGAGGAGCAAAAGGATAACAGACGTCGCCGTCGGAAGTGGAGCGAAATGGCAAATCAAGAAATGTAGAAGGAGATGTGGGCGGCCAAATCCGCTTAAAGTGAAAATTATTCCTTTTTGCCCAAAAAAAGGGAAACCCCCCTAACATATATACACACACATTCGTTTCGGCTTCTTGGCATTCGCGGCTATGTAAGCTGTTGACTTATTTCGCAAAAGTTCGATCCCAAACCTCGGCTGCCATTGTTGCAAATAGTTTTGTATGCCGGAGCTTAGCCTCGATGGGAATGTGAGGCCGAGCGAACAAAGTGAGGCAAACGTTTAGGCTATTTTATTTTGTATTCCGCCTTTGGCCATGTCTGAGCACTAGGAAAAATATATCTTAAATAGTAGAGAACATGTATTTAAGAAGAAACCAGGGAAAATGTTTTAAGCAAGTGAGTTTTTTGGGATATTTATGTCAAGGTTTGAAATGTGGAAAACATTTTTCTAAGAACACTTTACATATATACTCAAAAATTGTAATCAAGTTTTAAGAAGTCAAAAATTGAAAGTAAATATTTCAACAACATTGAGAAACTCTTTTTATATGAGCTTCTAAAAATTAAATATTAAATTTAATCATTTTTGAGCGACTTATTATTTCTTATAACCTTCCTTAACCTTCCCTCAATAATCCTTCAATGAAACAGAGTACATATAATAATCACTACAAAAGTTGCTATAATGTTTCTACAAATAACTTTTTGTTTAGGATTTTAATTCCTGTAATAATTGAAGCTAGCAAACCAAGACAAATATCCTGGCGAGAATGTTAGTATTTAAAATAAATACTTCCAAAAAAGTAGCAGTGATTTTCTTCATTTAAAAGTTGCTATTAGCAATGTTTCAATCTTTTTTTAGGAAGCCAAGTCTAGGAATTTTCCCCTTGATACCTAGTTTAGTTTTTCCTTCTGTGTAACTGAATTTAGGGACTGATTAAGTCGCACCTAATCCGACCGCAAATTAAGGGACTTACTCACTTACCTCGACTGAGATGGCGAGATGAAATATGCAGGGAAACTGGTAACAGCTGGGGCATTGAGACTTACCTTTGTGGTGACGCAGATGATGGCCGGCGGCGGAGCCTGTGCAGCATGGCGGCTCGTAATACAAATTCCAGGTGTTCTCGTAATCCGCCCGGGCGAACTCCACGCGAATGAATTGCGCGCCAAGGACGAGGAGCAGGGCGCTGAGGCTGCTGAGGCGATTGAGGAGCCGGTGGTTCCTCCCCGTGGCACACATGCTGCCTAATCCAAGGTAAAGTCTTGGCTTAATACGGTTTCTTTAAAGAGCTGCTCTTTGAGTCACACACACCGGTTGTTTGTTATTATTTTTGTTTTCTTCAGTTATAAGTTATTAATTAACTAGTTGAGCAATCTTGAGCTGGACATGGTGATCTTTTGGATGCAGCGATCTTTCCATTACACAGACACGCACACACAGTCTCGCTTCGAGTCGAATTTCGTTCAAGTTCTCGCTTCCGTTTCCGCTTTCGTTTACATTTACGTTTCCGTATCCGTTTCCCCTGTTCACGCGCACTTCGCGAGCAGCAGACACGAACTGAAGGCTTTCGCCACGAGGAAGTGTGTTAAATAAACACACTCGCCAGCGTTCGCTTCGCGGCAACTTCGGAAAACTTCGGCTGCTGTCGAACCTGCAAGAGTGTGGAAATTATGGAGAGCATCATTAGTTAGTTTCGTGTGAAAGAGCGGCGCAGGCGCAGAGTGAAAATTCCCTTGCTCTGAGTGGATTTCCCAGTAATGTTTGTGTTTATGCCAAGTGTATTGAACTCATTTGCAACGGGCAATGTGCAACGTGCAACGTGCAACATGCAGCGTGTGCAGCTTGCAACGGAGTCTGCAACGGCCGCATTTTCAAGGGTAAATGCAGCAGACACATTCAAGCTGAAGTGCATACAAGCCGGGGTGGGGCATGCCCCATCCTCCTGGCTGAACCGGACAACCCAAAGCGAGAGCAGACGGCTAGACGAGTGAAGGGTTTTCCAAAGGAAAGGGTAAGCTCCTGGCTACACTCAGCACACTCGCCCCCTTCGTAATCCCAAGGAAATCGGTCTTAACGTATCGGTTTTTAGACTTTTCGAGGCAGTAATCGTTTATGGAATATGTTTTTCATTGATTTTAAGATCTTAAAAAGCAAATTTGCTATGATTTTGCGTACTGAACAGATTTATTTCATACTTTTGGAAACCTTTTAAGGGAATTTTTAAATGCCAATCACTTTTGTAGTAATATTTTCATATTATTTTAAGCTTTAAATATTTAAGTTTTAAATTTATTTGTCAATTTGTTTCTTTTTAGGGTTCCTTACTTCAGAGACTTCTATGGGTAAGTGATATTATTATTTTTTTTTAATAAATAAGTTATAGCTTAAATAATTAGCTTTAGAGGTTTGCCTTAATATCCAGCTATTTCTGCATTTTTCTTTACCTTAAAATTTCCAATTTTTATAAAGTCTATTAATATTTTTTTCGAGTGCCCTATGACAGAGTATCCGCAGCATTGAGCCTAGCAGACGCTGCACTTAAAGTATGCTCGTGCATTATTATTTATGCATATGCTGGTAGTGATTGTATGTGTCTGGGAAATTCTCTGCTTTTCCTCTGCTTATTTTTCCAACGCTCCGCATCGCGCAGCGCAGCGCAGCGTCGCGTGTTTCAATTTGCAATGCAACATTGTATGCTGCAAAAAGTTCTCTAAAGCCAGACATAAGTCACTCAGACAGGCCCTGCGGGGGCGGCGGCGGCGACGGCAGTGAAAATAGGGGTAGCAGTAGGGGATGAGACTGTCGGCCAGACACAGTCGAGCCCAAAGACAATTAGGCATTGTGGTGTGTGAAGGGCAGAGGGTGTGCGGTAACCTTCAGACAGCCAGGTCCTTCGAATGTCTTTCAGCTTACTTTTACCCATTTGACTCGAGAGTTATTCTACAAAAATAGGAGTTGCAAGGCGGAGGTCAGGAATCGACAAGGGAACTCTGGTCAGTTCAGGACATTGGCAAAGTTTTCCAGGATTTCTGAGAGACAATTGTGCGGCAGGCAGGTCAAACCAACTGCACTGAATGAAAAAGGTTAAACAAACCATTGAGTTAATGTTAAGCATTTTGATTTCAAAATGTTGTGGAGTAAATAAGTAACTCATTTAATATTTATCTTCAGTATTCTTAAATTAGAAAACTCAAAACTTCTTTCTGCTTTAAGAAACTTTTTTTTCTATTCTATTCAAAATAATTTCCCTAAGCGTGATCCTCGTCTCTCAGTCCTAATGCCATATGGCTTCAATGTCCCTTGCAGCCGTCAAGGAAACAGGGCCAAGAAGCAGCACAGGCACACACACACACACACCTGTCGTGGCCAACGAAACGAGCTCCACAATTGCCTTATAAATGCCCTCAAACTTTGACTAAGCCAAACGAAAAACTTTGATTAATGTGCGCTTAAAGAGGAACCAAATACGTGGAAAAACCTCAACAGGACAGGAAGAAAAAAGAAAAAGCAGCTAAAGAAGCAGCAGAAGCGACAGCAGGACAAGAAACGAAGGCAGGCAGCAGGCAGTGAGGCAGGAAAAACAAGGACAAAACTTTTCATAACTTAAAGCCAAAAAAAGGACGAGAGGAGAGAAGGTGGCCTAAACGGCGTGCAGCCAGCGGCTTCTTAGCCGAAGCGCAGTACAAAAAACTTGTGCAATCAAGACGGGTTAGCAGGATGGCTGGCGCACAGGGGGGTGAGGGGGAGGGGGGGATCAAGGACGATGGCGGCGGCAAAAGGTTCAAGGCGCCGCACAACAATGTCAGGGACCCGCTGGCAGGACGAAGGAATCACAGCGCGAAAGCGTTAAAAAAGCGAATTGTAAAACAAGCAGCAAACAAACGAGCAACATTTGCTCTGGGGGCTGGCTGACTGGCTGGTACCACAGCGCACCCCCGCGCATTTCCCACATTTCCCGCATTTCCACACACAAAGTAGCCACACGATCCCAAACACAGGAACCGCCTTGGCGACCCCCCTTAAAGTTGGTTAATAGAAAATGTAATTCGATGCATTTAATGTTGGCAACGGTTGCCGGCGCTGCTTAAATGGAAATCAGTCTATGCTTTTTTCCCCTCTCCCAAAGTATCCTTTGGAAATTGGCAGGTCCTGTCGTTGTCTATTTTCTTGTTTTTTCCATTTTGTATACCCTTGCAGGGTATTATAATTTCAGTTAGAAGCTTGCAACGATGTGAAGGAGTTGTTTTCGACCGAATAAGTTATATATATTCTTGATCAGCATTAAAAGGCGAATTGATCTAGTCATATCTGGAGGAAACGAAATATGCAGAGTTCTTAACCCTTTAAAAACTAATACAGAAAAGCTATCCGCATTGAAATTAATGCATTTTTAGCTTAGTTATGATATTTGCAGAACTTCGATTTAAATAGCATATAAAATAATATCGAATTAATATATCTTAAATATAGATATTTCTGATATATTAAATATTGTAAGTATACAAAGGCCGAAAAAAAACATTTGCCATAAAAATCTTTATAAATAAAGAATTAATCCTATGATCTCATTGGTAACTGCAAGTGTATTAACACTTCGACTTCTTGTAGTTAGCTTCCTTTCTTGTTTTTTTTTTTTTTTTTTTTGTTATAAGTTCTCATTGCTGCATCCTGGCAATGTCCTGCACTCCCATTCCTGTTTGAGTTGCTTACCTAATCCCTGCAAACAAGTTAAAAACGTTGTAAAACAAACAACAGTACAGAATGGGTGGGTTCAATGGTTGTTTCTGTGGGTTTTACTGCCTTCATACTTTTTCGGGAATACAGGGGAATACAGTAAAGCCATCCTATGACGATGTTTGGGGTTCTACCATATAAATTATTTAAGTTTTATTGACTAAAATAAGTCAAATAATGATATTTGAAGAAGAACCTTCGGTACATGTCTTCCAAAATCACATTTCTTTATAATTATGTTGAAATTCCTTACTTATTTCTTTACCAAAATGTGTCGAAAATTATTATCAAAGTTGTAACAACTTTTTTATGTGCGATTTTTTACGATTTCAGTCAGGGAAGCTCGACTGTATATATATTTTTCGGGGAGTGAATGAAAACGAAGCGATTTTGACTGACATCGAGTGCCATGAGAAATACAAACAATCAGGCCGAGGCAGACAGTTGCATTCCCTGAGCCACCAGCCACCCCTTGGCCCAACCTTACCACCCTACCCCAACCCACCATTTTCCACCCCCCTCCCATTTGATTTTCCACCCCAACTCCCCCGCAACCCAATCCCCTATGCAGGGTAACCTCAGCAACCTGCGGAGCGTGCCGCAGCCATGAAAACGAAGCGACAGCAATGCTAATAGAAATTAAGCGAAAGTTAGTCAGAGGGTGAAATCGGATTTGGGGGGAGGGCAGACGGTGATGCCGAATGCTTTTCCACCCACTGCACCACCCACTTCCACCTGAACCCCGCTGAAGGTCGCCCTCTACAAGGCTTGCTTTCATTTCGTTTAGCTGCCGTTTTATTTGCGACTATTTACATTTGCTTTTATTAATCATAAAAAAAATAAGTGAAAGACCAAGAGAAATATTTTGCTGAAATTGCCAAAAAACGTTGACGCGGCTCGTGACCTCCGTCTGCCGCCGGATTCCCATCCCTGGCTGGCTTAGTATCCTGGGCAGGATTGTGCCTCCTGGTCTGTGTTGCTGCTGCACGAAAGTGCAATTTGATTTTAATGGCGGCAAAATGCTGAATTCTAGTCGCATAGCCCAGACATACAGACGAAGCACCAACGTTCGGTTCAGTCCCCGATCCATTCAAGGCATATCCCCTTAGCTGTTGCTTCCTGCCTGCAATCAGGAGCCATTTGTGTTTGTCGTTGATCCTCCTGGTGCAAGGCTCACGCACGTGCACTTGGGAAAATTATTAGAGAGTTTCTTATAGAGATGAGATATTTTAATCATCAAAATGTTGAAAAAGGGGAAGGCATTTTAATGCAATTGAAAAGATATATATTTTAAAGAGAATGAAAGGACATAAAATGGTTTTGTTTCCTCTTCTTTATTGTGTTTTACTTGTATAATTTGTAAATTTATTAAGGTTTCTGTTAACCAAAAAATATTGAATTTAAATTGAATATAGAAAGACCCAAGACACACAGAACAATGTCTTCTTTATATATATACTATAATATAATATTAGAATTTAAGCTCTTTAATCAACTTAGATCTAGATATAAGATTCTTTTTCTTGAAAAATGTACTATTTTCCTATCTTGTTAATAAAATAAACACACAGTTCAACGTCTTCTTCAGATATAAACTAATATAATACTATAATTTAATCTCTTTGATCAACTTAGCTCTAGTAAAAACATTCGTTTTCTTTCGAAATTTATTACTTTCCTACCTTTTTAGTACTTTTTTCTGCAAGTGCACTCGCACACACAGGCACACTCCCCCTGGAGTGTCGTCTGCCAGGTTCCGTTTTGCATTTTGATTGTTTTTTACGAGTGTGTGTGTGTCGCCTGGAGTACGTGCGTGCATTTGTTTGTTTGTTTGTTTGTTTGTTTGCGCCGAATGTTTGGTCGAGAACTGAGGCAAACAACCGCTCGTCACTGTCATTAACGTCATTGTGGCTCCGG